GGTGAATGCCACAAATTCTCCTAAATCACTCGTACGCACAACTTAAGAACAAATCTGTGCGTACGAACGGTTCTTGCATGAGGCCCACTGTTCATTAAGGCGATATTAAGCAGTTCACACATTAAGTTCTCCAATCCTCATTTCCTCCTGCTTTGCACTGCAGGTGCACCCCTCCCCCCCACCCAGTGTGTGATTAATACAGATTTTTTGTGATTATAAAGGTAAATGTCCGAAGAGACTGAGCCAAACTGGTAATTGTGGAAACAAGCAAAGGAGAATTACGTCCTGTCAGTCTGTCCACAGAGCAAAAACATGCACGTTATGTTCAATGTTAACTCTAAATGGTCCCTCAGTGTGGGAGGGAGGGGGAATGGTTGTTTGTGATGGACCGAAGGACATGTCCAGGGTGTCCCCAGCGTCTTTCACAGTAGCCATGTTTCCATCTAACTGTAATGCAAATTTTGAGCAAACTTTTAAAATGTTGCAGAAAAAAAAAGAAAACAGGTGTTCCTATCTACTGGTTTGGGGCGAATCAACCAGGCTATGCAAAGTGTAATTATATCAGACTCATGGTTGTAGTAAACAGGAAGTAGAGGTTACAGTCTCACAGGGAGACACATCTCAGAAGTGATCAGGAATGTGTTCCTATTGGGCAACTTGTAATTATCCTGTCATATCAACTAGTGCTGGTGATGTTACATGCTGTCTGGAGACGTAGAAAAAGAAATGTAATTCTCTTTGCGTTATGGAAACAGCTGATCAATCCTGTGAGGTAAATGTTTGCTACGTCAGAATTTATTCAGAAAATGTGTTTCCATCTCTTTTTGTGCAGTAACTATTTTTCAGAAAATCCAAAAACCACCTCAAGTGATCGTAAAAAAAATTTGTGAACTGAAGGAAGTTGTTTTGAACTTTGCCATTTCCATTGACCTTTTCTAATATTACAGATCATCATCCGCATAAAAAACCTTGATGGAAACACGGCTAGTGACTGATGAGATGGCAGTAGTAGTGACAGTGGGTGAGTGGGTGGATGGAAATCATCTTACCACAGGCCAGGGCTGGAGCTGACTTCCAAGCAGCTATTTGAAAGGGATAATTCCACGCACCGATGCCCACACACACCCCTAATGGCTCCCTGCGGGTGTAGGCAAAGGACCCCCCAGGCAGCTGAACGTGCTGACCTAGACAAAGAAAAAAACAAAAAATATTTTATTGTACAACACACCAACATTCACAGATAATCTGCTTCATAAAATAGTGAATCTAAGTTTTTAAACTGCCATTGAGGATTGTTTATTTGCTACTTGAGCACCAGTTGAGCTATCAATCAACACATCAAATAGCTGTGCATCATAGACAATGTGGCAACTTTCTGTGTTGCTCACTTATGAACCACAAGAGAAATTGCAAATCTGATCTCAGTAATGCATTTCTGAGACAATCCTGGTCTTCTTTGATGTGCTACACGACCCCTTTCCCATTGAAAAATTCAATCCAATATGGTGGCTTTCAAGATGGCGGCCATGTGTTGGACATAGCCTACAAGATCGACCCCCTCACCCATTCGTTGTTGGAGTATTTAAGGATTTCATTTTTGTTTCTGAAATAAAAGGGTGTCCTGGGACTTTTGACTCACCTTGTATTTGTTTTGGCTCTAGACATTTTGGTGCCCTAGGAGAGTTGAATCGCAA